AAGAGAGAAAGAGAAGAAGAAAAAGAAAGGCTAAGACATTTTTAGAACTGGGCTGTGGGCTGTGGTCTCTGGCTTTTCCTACACCATCCTTCCTTCCCACTCTCTCTTTGCGGGTATCTGACCTGCATCTCCCTCCCTGCTCTTGTTTTTCAACTTCTTTATCCTTCACAGGCATTTCCTCCAATAAGTCCTGTGCATATCTAATCCTGACTTGGCATCTGCTCCTCGGAGAACCCAAACAGACAAGGCATGATTGCTGCCTCAAAGAACTCACCATCTTTCTAAAGAAATGGACACATAAAATTTTAAAAAATACAATCTAATTATCCTGTGATTGCGTAGCTTACATCTCTCTCTTCAAGGGCAATATACATAACCTAAACATTTGTACCCCCATAATATGCTGAAATAAATTTTTTAAAAAAGAAAGAAAAAAAGGAAAAAATATATATATACTTTATGTAATTTTGAAGTGCTCCCACACACAATTAGTTCTACCTTGACTCTGTCCGCACGGTTGTTGAAAAGTCCAATCCGTCTAATGGTGCTGAGGATGGGATCCGTGGAGTCATCCATCATATTGTGAGTGGTCACAGGGGGCAGTGACTGTCGCTGGATGAGAGGGAAGGAAATGTCAGTTGCGGAAATAATTAATAAGTGTGACTAATTTCAACAATAAGTCCTTGACATTTCACCCAACCTTTATGCCATCAGTCATTTGAGATGACAGGAGTGAGGATGACTAAGTTTTGTGTGTTTCAAGATAATGGGTTGAAAACTTTCCTTCACCTACTGTGAACATATTAAGCTTTTGTTTTTTTATCTGCAGCCACTATATAGGAAAGGCTTGGGCTTCATGACTGCTTCTGGAATTTATTTGGAACATAAGAGTGTCCTGAATTCTAACTCAAGACAACCTTTGCTGGTTTCTTCTAGCAGGGCTATCCCCCAGTACCTGATACCTCGTTGTTAAAACAAGGTGCATGCCTAACATATTTATTTTACCTTTTTTTTGCAATAATATTACTTGACTGACAGACATTCATATTTTCTCTGCTGTGATTCAAATTCTATAATTTTGGAAATATTTAGGACTTTTTTTGTTGTTACTGCACTATGCACAGTTTTTCAATTGGATGTACTGGTTTCAAAAGAATTTTGTGAGTAGAAAGACATTTCATGAGATTTTTAAAAAGAGCCCTTAAAACCACTCATGAAAAAAAACATACAAAATCATAATTTAAGTGACTATATGAGAATATCTTTTCTAGCTCTCAGGTCTAAAAATGTTCCCAATTAGCACACTCCACTAAATTAAAATATCAATGTAGATTGATCTGAATAATGAGGGGAAATAGTGGGCACTTTTTTTCCATATTACCTGTGTTGAGAAGATGGCTCTTTTCATAATTGTTAGGTCGTCTCGATCTAAAATATTGTTCATGTCAGGAATTTCTCCTCTGTGGGGGAAACAATGTTAAAGAATAAAAACAAAAACAGCTGACACTAATTCAGTGCTTCCTAAGCAGCAGACAAATTATATATTAATATTTCATATATTTTAATAATGTTTTAATAAAGTAAATATGTTAATGTAGATTTAATATATAAATAAATTATATTTAATAGTAATATATTAAGTCAATATATATTTTGAAATAAAGTCTCATGAAATCTCCCTCAGCTTCAGACTGACATATTAACCTTTAATGAGCTCACCATTGAATTAGAAACTGCCTACAAATATAAGTGTGTTCTCATTTCTACAAGCTGTTTACAAGTTTTGTCAAATAAATTAAATTGCCTCAGCAAACTACATCTGTGCCTAGGTCACCATAGAAACTCCAGTCAAAAGAAAATTACATAAAAGCATCATTAGCCACATTCTCTGAAACTAGAAGCTTCCCATAGTATCACCTTAAGTTGAACTTCATCGGGAAGAAACAAACACAATTCATGTTAATATCAGTGATTCCTTCATTCTAAGTAATTCTTAGAATATATTGGTATTATTAAAAATCAAGTCATTTCCTTATGCTTATTGGACAGCATGGTACAATGAAATTGAATGCTGGAATTATAACTTAAAGCTATGAATATGCTTCAATTTTCAAGAATGATATGAAAATATTCATTAGATGCTAATTACCCAAGACAAGAATCTGGATTAATTCTTTTTAGAGATACTTAAAATATTTCTGGTAGGCATCAAAACAACTAAGGGAGGCTCCTAATAAATTCTCAAAAAATATATTGTATGGTATCCCAAGAGTGGAAAAATAAGCACCACACGTATTCACCAGCAAATTGGTATTAACTTATCAACACCTAAGTGCACATATAGGAATAACTTTTATTGGGTGTCGGGGCAGGTGGGAGGGGAGGGGCCGAATGGCCGTGGGTTCTATACAAACATAATGGAGTGAGATGTGCAACGCTCTGGGGCGATGGTCACTGCTTGAAGCTTGCTGACTCGAGAGGGGTGTGAAGGGGGGATGGAGGGACACTGGGGAGGGACAGTTCATAACCCACTAAATTCTCAATTAGGTCATCTGCTAAAGGTGAAAGAAAGGAGGAAAAGTGAGGGGCCTTGAAAAGACTGGTAAACGCTTGTGGCAACTGATCTTGAACACAGGTGAATGCAATTGAGTAAAAATAAGCAGTTATGTGTTTACATGTTCACCACTGTCACCCCCACCTGGAACCATGGCTGAAATGTCACATGCCCTCAGTAGACATCTTGGAGATTAAGCTCCACAGTGGCAGAATCCAGGCCTTATTCATATAAATGAAGGTAGATTTAATATTAAATAAATTATATTTAATAGTAATATATTAGTCAATATATATTTTGAAATAAAGTCTCATGAAATCTCCCTCAGCTTCAGATTGACATATTAACCTTTAATGGGCTCACCATTGAATTAGAAAACTGCCTACAAATATAAGTGTGTTCTCATTTCTACAAGCTGTTTACAAGTTTTGTCAAATAAACGATAAAATACCACTCACATGATACAACACGTCTTCAAAGGCTAGTAATTCCTTTACATTGAACAAATAAATCAATTACAGTGTCCTACAATTGCTTAAGTTTGAATAG